GGCCAATCAGTTAGAAGGAGGTATGGCTCTGGGAGGGGGGCTAGCCAGGAAAAAAGAACACAGCCCAGACAATTAATGTCTGTGCCAAGTTGCAGGCCTTCCCTAAATCCAGTGGTCTAGTGGATGCCCTATCCTCCTGCCCCTGGTTCTCTGGATGCAGCTCTTGAATGTCAGAATGGTCCAAAACAAGACGCTCCTCGTTCCTGATTTAGTAGTGGCTCAGGCAGCTGATCTGACATGCAGTAGCAAAACCTAGCTGGGCAAACAGAGTAGGGTTTGTCTCTCCCAGTTATACCCACAGGGATATTGTGTGGGGTATTGGTGTGGTCTATAGGAATTCTGACTCTCTCCAAGCTCCCTGTCCACCTCACTACGGGTCGGGAGTATTTGCATTTTGTGTTAGGCCAGCACGACAGATTAGGGATTCTGTTTGTTTCCTACTCATCCCACAGGATTCCCTGTCTCAACTGGCAGAGGTGGTCTTGGTTATGATGCTGAGATTCTCCAGGTCTGGGAGATGATAATATTCATCCTGAAGTTATCTGGAGCAGTCCAGATTTCCATGGAACTGTCCCAACATATCATGGGCCCATCCTAACACAGCAGGACACACTCCAGATTTGTTTTTTTAAACTGGGCAGAAGGATAATGATGTGAAGGTGAGAGACTTTGAATCATTCCATGTTAAGATTTAGACTCATGAAACCTTTCCCCTCTGCAAGACTGGATGACTGATTAACACAGTCCACTCCCAGCAGTGAATGAACTCCAGCTACAGAATCAAAAAAGAGAAATATCTTTGCTCTTTTTCCACCATGGCATAATGTTTTGTGCATTTTCTAGTCAGTAGTCTAGAAATCTATGGCACATAAAGGAGGCCCAGGGCTGGCATGCTAACTCATCAGACAGGTGGTGCAGTGGAAAATGTGCCCTTTTCATCTTCACCTGAGCATTCAACAGTTGTGTATGAATCAGCGGAGTCCACTAAAGAAAGAGCATAAGGTACCCTAGCCCATTGAGACCAGGGAATTCAGCCAAGGAGTCTGGAAAAAGTGTTTGTGGACTAATGTCACTGATACTGGCATGCATTACTGAATGCTCATGCTGCTTCTGTTGTGAGAAGCAACGGGTTAAATGAGCAGCCCATACCTGATGAGGGAGCTTGAGGAAGGAAATAGGTCAGATCTTCACCCTTGGATGAGCAGAGATAGTAGAGATTTACTGCTTCTCTTTTGAACAGGAGAAGAGGTGCAGAGGTCTTGCAGTTAAATATAGTTAAGCTAAGGCAGCGATAGAGGACTGGACACCTCAAGCCAAACTCTTCTCCCCAAGAGAACACTCGGCATCTCTGGCTTGCATTTTCTAAGAAGAATAACCTGTCTTGCTTGTTCTTTCTTCAGAGCTGTCTCTTCTGTGTCACTCCTCCTGTCCTGATCCTGTCAGAATGTCTGAGCTTGCAACTTTCATGATCCAGCTGAGAATATTTGGTGTCCTTGGGCTGGTTCTCAATGACTTAAAGGGCTTTCTGCCTTTGCTGGGGTGATTGAGTTTTTGTGTATTAGTTGCTGATATTTTGGAAGAGGGAAGCAACAGTTACAAATGATTTCTTTCTTCCTTCGGAAGGGATAATGTAAAGAAATTCTCCAAAATGGGAGGGCTGGCAAATGATTTCTAACTGCTTCCAATGTACAGAAACTTAGAGGTAGAGATTCAACCTGCACTGGATGGAGTTGCACTCTTTCTGAAGGCTCATGCTCACAGATGGGGTCTACTCATGGACTTGGCCCTGAACCCGGGTGTCCAGGTCTTGGCAACAGCTGGGAACAAACTTGTGCAGCTAAGGCTAGTGCATCATTTTTGCCTATTCTTAGGGTCACCTAATCGGGCCATGGTCTTGTAAGCCTTAGTTAGGTCCTCCTTGGGCTGCCGTTACTGTACCCTCCAAGGGATTGCCCTTTGAAATGGTTTCAAAATTTCTGCTGTTCCAGAAACTTCAGCTGGTGCAACTTCAGTGGCCAGACTCTTAACTGGGACCAATTACAGGAACACAAGACTCCCCTGTTACAATTCAGTGTGCTGATTACAACCCATGAAGCTCCACATGGCTTGTGACAGACCTGGGGAGGAATGTGCCCCACATGAGCCTGGTTATGAGTAGTGAGAGGCATAGCAATGGGGGATTATCATGCCAGGCAAGAAGTGGGAGCTGGGGGGTGCCAAATTTGAACATTATAGCGCCCTGAGAAGCATACTTTGCTGGTACCTGGAAAAAAGTGAGGTTGGGTATTCAAAGCACCCTTTGCAGCAGAATCCTTGGTTTTGGCTGCCTTCCCTTTTCCAAGTGTGGACAACCCAGGGGCACACAAAGTCCACTCCCAAACTCGTTGGGTCCTGCTAAAAAGGGTGCTTGGGGGGCTATTCCCTCATTTAGCATCCCTTCCCAGATTGATCCCCTGGGTTTGGGGGAATGATCAGAAGCTCCAGTGACCCCCTCAGTTTTGCCATTTACTCCAAGTCAACAGCACATTGCAGAAAGAGAAACCAGGGGCTTTCCACTGGCAGGTGTGTGCAATTCTTAAGTGATCTGCTGTCGAGTCTCCCTCCTGTAAGTAGAAATCCCATTCAGCTTTGACGTTCCCCACATTTCTAGCATAAGGGAAAACTTTCAAAACTGAGATACCACTAGAAACACCTGGTCTGTTCCAAAGAAAGCTGGGAATCATGCTGTAAAAGAGGAGAAAGCATGATCTCCTTGAGAGCCATTGTGGTGCAGTGGTTAAGAGTGCTGGGCTGGGACTCAGGAGGCCCTGAGCTAAGTCTAAGTAGCATACCTTTTTTAAAAAAAAGCAAGGTTGACCATGGGCCCCCCAAGATACTACTAGGGATCCTGTCAGGGGCAGCTCACATAGACCAAAAGTTGAGATTGAAAAAGCCTCCCTGATAGGTGATTTTCATGATCATTAAAATAAATAAAATACTTTTGTAAGGCAATGTGGCAAGTATGAAGCGGTCTGCGGCTGCTTCAGAGAGCTGGGGGGTTGCCTTTGGCCATTGCTCCAAGTGCCACTGTAGCACTTTTGGGGTGGTTGTCACTAACCTACTAGCCACTTGGCATTTGCTGCTCTTACCAAACAGCTCTATTGTTCTTTGACTTATCCCACTTCTTGTTGTGTCATAAAGTTCTGAACAGGATGGCAACTTTAAGTGGGGCTTATCAGCCATGGGATTCTGGGCTTGGCTTAAAAAGCCATGCCACAAGAAGCACACTGGATTCTGATAACATGATACATCATCATGTTATATAAACCTAGTCAGTATGAGCATGTCAGGATTCCAGTGACGGGGGGAGCCAAATCAGCACAAGCACAGTTTTGTTTGGCAGGAAATGCGACAGTTTTGCCTAGGTTTTTGCTGGATCTGGGAAATCATATGTGACCCTGAAACAAAGTGATCTTGAAGCTGGTTGATAGGTGACAGGGCCTGTAATCAGGGGCACACACAAGAAAAGTAGGCTTGAGATAAAGCTGCAGAAATGATCAGGGATATAATACAAGTAGTGTCATCCATAGGTATCTGGGCTGGAAGGGGTTGGATTGAAGTGCTGGCAAGGTGCATGTAGCCTCTTCCAAAAGAATACCTCTTCTGCTATGAGTCTAACGGAGTTTGTTCCTGATACCAGCATGGAGTTTTGAGGGTTATTGCCTGGTGCCAGAAACAAAGAACCGTGCAACTAGTGCCATGTGCCCAGGGGTTGTGTGGGTTTGGGGCATCTGCTTCTTCCCCATCACCACCCTGTAATATACTGCAAATTGCTTTGCCTTGGTTTGAAACTTTGCAGCCTGCTTTGAAAAGAGATTTTAAAAAACCTAAGTCTTGCAGAGCACAACTAAGCCCCTGGGATACACATCAATGGTCGCTATCTCATCTTTAGTCACAGTCTCTAAAGGTGGACAGAATTGTACCAATGTGATGAAGAAAACCTGGAATGCCTGGGGCTAATTCCTTGGAGTCTCAGAAACATCATGAAACTGAATGAAGCTTCCGGTGGTCAAGGAATACATCTTCACACTGTGAAGGTCCTTGACCCCTTCCTTACCAAGGACTGCTCGGGCATACCTGGTTCCCTCTGCATTCCTGGTTTTAGTTCAGTAAAGTTGTTTTAGTTTCTAATGCTAATGTTTAAAACTATATTAGATGTTATCTTCATAGAAATTAGCAGATCAGTGTGTGTTTGTGTGCATGTGTGTTTTATGTTTTCAGTTCAAGTATTTCAAGACCGATTTGCTGTGCTTTGTTTTCCATTCTTGCTAGACTTGCTCACAATGGAGATTAACCACAGGCAGCCTAATTTGCTTGTTTCTTATGCAGAACAGTGTCAGCTTGTTCTTTACACATACCCTAAATTTTATGGAAGCGGGATGCAAGCATTCCTGTCAGTGGCATTTACATAAAATACAGTCCCACTCCGCATCTAACAAATGCTGTCAGAAACCAAGCAATGTCTTTTTCCATTCCTGTGCTCCCCAGAAGTAATCTTTCAAATGCCCTTTCAGTCAAAGCAGTACATGCTTAGGCTAGGAAGGTTTCTTGCTGTACTTTTACTAACATGAATGAGACTGAGGTGCCTGGGGGTAAAGAAGAGGCGTTAAATTCAAAGACAACCATTTTTCTTTTCTTTCAGAGCTCAAGTGGCAGGTGCCCCTGAAAGAAAAATGGGATGATGAGATAAATCTGTGTTAAGCATAGCCCCCTGTGATTTCAAAGAAGATCCTGCCCCCACCATACAAATGCACAGATTGCTAACGCCTTCTAGATCTCTCCTTTATATGCAGTGCTGCTTTCTCCGGAGAAGTGCTTTTTCCTTATCTCTTGAACTGTGGGCTTGTAGAGATACAGTGCAGAGATTAGAGGGGAAATATATTTTTGTAGGCTAGCTCTACTGCTCTGAGTTAACCATGTTCCTTTTCTCTCCCCCCCCCCCATCCCCATTTGCCTTTCAGCATTTATCATCATGATCATTTTAGCCCTCCTCCGCATTGCCAAGGGACAAGGGGAAGGTCACCCTCCCCTGGCACAGCTTTCTGGAATCCGCAATCTCTTTGGTGTCTGTGTTTATTCCTTCATGTGCCAGCACTCCTTGCCATCCCTCATTACTCCCATTTCCAAGAAGAAACATGTCAACAAGTTGGTCCTGCTGGATTACATCTTAATCCTGGGTTTCTACAGCCTCCTGTCCTTCACTGCTATCTACTCCTTCCGCAACGAGACTCTCATGGACATGTACACGCTCAACTTTACCAACTGTGACATAGTCAATATTGCCATTATCCGCTACTTCCTTGGCCTCTTTCCTGTCTTCACCATCAGTACCAACTTTCCTATCATTGCTGTGACTCTGAGAAACAACTGGAAGACTCTTTTCCATCGGGAAGGGGGCACCTACCCATGGGTAGTAGATAGGATATTCTTCCCAGTCATCACACTAATCCCCCCTATTATTGTGGCTTTTTGCACTCATGATTTGGAGTCCTTGGTGGGCATTACGGGAGCCTATGCTGGGAATGGAATTCAGTACATCATCCCTGCTTTCTTAGCGTACTGCAGCCGAAAAGACACTCAGCTGGTCTTTGGAAGTGGCACACTCAATAAACATTTGTCGCCTTTCCGGCACACATTCTGGATTTGGTTTGTGCTACTCTGGGGTATGTTTTGTTTTCTTTTTGTGACTGCAAATATCATCTTGACTGAAACAAAGCAATAGAGAAAGCTGAAGGTAGCTTCTAAGACTTCTTTTCCCAGGCCTGCACCCTGACAAGAACTTTTCTAAACAAGCAGCTTGCTAAATCTCTTGAGTGCAACTTTGGGTGCATTCCCTTTTAAAATCAGAATTTCCCGTCAGTTTCTAAAGCTCTGGATGTGAGCATTCCAGCAGGCTGCCGTGGTTGCCCACTCTGACTTTTTTTGCTTTGACTACAGATTTTCATGCAGACTTGACTTCCTCTCTTGAGCTATAATATGCCAGTGGTTGTTGGATACGCATCTCTTCCCCAAGAGTGATGGAGAGGACCAACGTTGCTGTTACCAGTCAAGCAAGCAGCCAATGAATCAGGCAAGGAGTGATGCTGAATCATGCTGATATTCCCTCTGAAGTGACTTTCCTGTCTCCCAACTAACAGGGGAGAAAAATCAGGAGCCGGATGGACACGGCTGGTTAAACAAGGCATCATGGCTGTTGACATATTGCACAGTTTGGATGGGGTTGGGGCAGCCTACACTGTGGCCTGGGGAGACAGGAATGGCAGTTTTTCCCCACTGCAGCAGCTCCCCTCCCCACCTCAGCGTTTGTTTCCTCCATTTCTGTTTCAGCCTTTCCAGCACAAGTTTGCCTTGCTGCATGTACGGGATTAGACTCGCAGATGCTGTTGTGGGTCCAAATGAATATTTCCATCTGATAAACTTCTGTTCATGTTTATGTTTCCTGCACATAACTTCTGGTCTCAGGTTTTCTTTCCTCGTGTGTTTATATCCAATATGTGGGTGAGCAGGAAGCGCAGTGAAGACTGACAGACTGGGTGGCCCATGCCCCACAGTCCTCCATTTCAGAGTCATGGCAGTGTGCCCTGGCGGTAGCACTCACCACTTTTATGGATATGAAGGTGTTAATTACTTGCTGGTCAGGTAATGTGAAAGCAGCTTCTGAGCTGGGCGCTTCCCAAAGTGGAGGGGTGCACTGAGCCTTGTCTCGATGCAAAATGATATGAGTGAGTGTAACCAGAGAAAATAAAATCATGATGGGAAGAGAAGACTTTCCTAAACCCATTTTTTTCTGATTTCTGTTCAAATTAAAAGCAGCTACCTCCTCACTGTTGCTAAATACTTAAGGTAAATGAGTCCCACTCTCTCCACCCCAATTCACCCCACCCAATGAACACAGGAGGGAGGAAAATACATTCTCCACCACGTTCCTCTGCCCTCTCAGCTGCCATTGCACCTTCTGCATAGGCTCAAATTGCACTGGCCCCCTGCAGATCGGTGCCTTTAATCCAGTGCCTGCCTCAGTTGCATCATGTGAGGGGGTCCAGCGTTGAGAGCAGAAGGTGGATGGGGTGGTTCGAAACCCTCTCCTGCCCATGCTTTATCTCCCTGTAGTCTTTTCTCACCCATGATGCTGATCTGGGAGAAAGATGCCCAGGGGAGGAGCTGCAGAGATGCCGCTGAACTCTTTGCTGGCATGGCCATTGTAGGAGTGGGACTGGGCCCACCTCCCGCTCATTGAGGGCTGTTCAGAAAGACGTGTGGTTGGATTCTGAGGAAGAGATGGAGGAGCAAGGTGGGGAGAGAACTTTGAGGTTTCAAGGTTTCCTAGTGAAGGCTCTCAGGCAGAGCATGAGAATCAGCCTGCTGTGGAAGGGGCAGAAGGGCTTTTAAGGTAGATGGGGAGCAGATGTGAGGCCTGGGATTTGACCCAGTCAGGAGGCATAGGGATAAAGGTGCTGCTCAGTCGGAGGGCCTCGCTGTTCTCACCTCTTGCCACCCTGAGGGTGGAGTCTGAAAAGGACAGATCCAACTCTGTGCGTGGCAGAAGCTTCTCCCTCAACTTTGGTAGAAGGCTGTTTAGAGTTCATACCGTCGTGTAATCTGTTGAGTTTCAATAAAAGAACAACATTTCGATGAATTGTCTTGGGTCTGATAACCAGAAAGAAAGAAATACTGGCTCATGACAGCTATTCTGCTCTTAAAATCTGGTCCCTCCCCACCTCACAGCTTCCCCATGATGGGGGAGGGTATGGATTAAAAGGCACAGGCCAGAAGTCATTTGGGCCATAGGACCTTCATTGAAAAGGACACTTTTCAAGCTGCCCTTAACCACCACTTTGTGGCACAAAAGTCTTTTAGGAGACCAAGAATCTATAGAAGGGGGTCTTGCATCACAATTATTTGAATAGAAAGAACCTTGACTCCTTTTTTTACTGTTTTCTGTTCTTATATTTCCTCTGCTTAACCCCTGGATTATGCTTGTTTTCTTCAGCCTAGAGTGGTTGTGATATTAAATTCAGTGCTTTGCCAATGCAAGCCGGTAAAATTTGATATTCTTGTTTTGGTTTTTGCTTGAAGCAAAATTATTATTGAGAGCACAGCTCTCAAAGCCATTGTTTTTACTACTACTGCTACCGAGAGAGAGATCAGCAGAAGTTGTGTTTTAAGAGCAAACACACCCAACAACTTTTCTGCTTAAGCGTGAGTAATACAACTCTGCTGAAAGAAAAGAGAATGTCCTCGATCTGTTGTTGTATAAAGCTGGATTTGTCACCAAGGAGAAGTATGCTCACACTAGCCACAATAAAACCTGACGACATCCCCGCTTTTCTTGATTTCAAATTGTACTTGGCAGCCCTTGCTGAGACATCGGAGAGCCATACGTATCTTTGAAAACTTGTGCATAGCTGATGTTTTCCCCTTTGACACCAGGTTACTGAGTGGTCTCATCTCTGAGGGTATTAGAAATCATGGCTCCAGAAAGGTGGGGAGGACATAAAAGCAGAGACACTGTCCTTTTGAAACTGAAGCTGTTCTGCCACAATTGGTGTGTCGGAATAGCAGCTGCTTCCTTCTGTTGCTTTTTGCCAGGGTGTTGTAAAACTCGGTTTGACTGGGATTGAGAGGGGTTGCGAATGGCTGTGGCAGAGCCTGGGACATACTGGCCCAGTCTGCACCTCGGCAATATGAGGCACACAAGGATGGGATCACCCTTGGCTTTTTAGCAGCAGAATTGATGTGCCTGACAGAATTAACCAACAATGGTCAGGAATTACTTGACGGCTGTTTGTGGCAGTCTGTCATGTTTTCATGTGCATCGCGCTGAGCGTGGGCAGGAAGGACTGAGTTTTGGTGAGGTCAGAAGTTGTGTCAATTGCTGGGCTGCAGTGACAGTCCTTATTTTACAGTCACAAGGCAAGCTTTAGTCTAGGACTTCAGTCTAAAAATTAAATTATTAAAGCCACAGTATAAAATAAAAGTAAGCAGTACAAAGATTTTAAAATACAGTACAGGATTCAAAACAGACAAATTACAATTCCTGGGAAAATAAGGTCTTCACCTGGTGCCAGAGAGACTACACTACAGTTGCCAGGTGAGCACCTATTTTCAGGTCACTGTCCCGCTGCCCAGTTGAGTAAACCAAATCCAGAGGTCCTCAACACCAAATCCGAGACCACCCCTGTCAGCTCAGGCAAGGAGGCTGAAGGGTGGCAGGGTGCACAGTACAGCAGCAAAATCCCTACTCTGTCTCTGCTACCCAACGCAAGGTACAAACCCGAATGGACAGAAGGCCATTTCTCTCTACTTCCTCTAAATGCCATGTTGCACTGTGTACATTTTCAGTTTAGATGATCATCTTTGCTCTTAAAAGCTGTCCCAAAAGATTTAAGATATAAAACTGCTATGATTCCTCTCTGATTTCTGAGAGACTTGATGGCTTCCTCTCTGCCTGAATGGGGCCGGGGGAGGGGGGGATTGTGACGCATCTTGGCATTGGTGCCTTCCATTGCTCCCTCACCTTGTACTACTTTCTTCCTTGCATTTGGCGGTCAGCATCGAAGTAACTTCCCAGGTGGCTGCAGCAGGTAAGCATGGGAGGAACGTACCTTGATAAATGGTGGAAGCTGTATGATAGGAGAGAAACTTTTAGACTAGTTGCAAAGTATGCCTTACAGCCTAAAATAGACTGAGGTAGGTCAAATGTGTGTATATATGGATGTGTGTTTTCCTAACTTCATTGCACGGGCCACAGGGGACAAGGCAGTACGGGAATTCAGGTCTTGACCTGGCTGAGTATGATGCAGTAGATGAGATCTTCTCCCATCTGTTTTAACATGAGACAATATCTTTAATTGGTTATTATAATGTGGCAGTTCTTCTCTATGGCCCTTTGCAGCCCTGCGCCCTCAGCTTGTCCCTGTATGTAATTATTTTTCAGAAAGGCATAAAGAAATAAATGCAGATTATGCATCTGTTGTGGCTTGGCCTTTTCCGGCAAGCATTAAGGGAGAGAGTCTTGAATTGGTTTCTGTTGACGGATCAGTTGGCAGGAGCAACCAAGTGAGTGGGAGAGGAGGCAGTCAGAGAGTTTGGCTGTGCTGGCAGCAGCGCATGGAGTAATTCTCCCCGTTGTGTTTGTCCCACTGTATTAGCCTCCTGCTTCTTGTAGCACTAGGTGTTCCCTAAAAACTCAATTAAAACAGCTGTACCTTACCCACCTCAATTACATTTCCTTGCACTTAAAAACTAAACAAATTGAATCATTTCGCCACCTCAGGCAGCAAATGAAGTTTCTTCTGGCAAATTTATTATCACCATAAAGCCCAGCTTGATTTATGTTAAAATATTAAAAGGCATCTTTATGATGGAATTGAACAGTTTCTGCTTTCTCTTTCTGTGGCTTGCATGTTCTTTCTTCTGAGGAATCAAAGTGTGGTGTGGGATTTATTAGTGAACTGGGCTATAAATCTGAAATCAAAGCTTAAATCCATCTTCTTTCTGCACTTCAAAGATCATGAGGGGAAAGGGCCACCCTTAAAGTTGGATACTTGGGAAAGTGCTATCAACTTTAAGAGAAAGAATTTGAGAAAGAAGCCTTAGGGGACATCCTCAAAGTTTTACCCATATTATACCAAAGCTTGTAGAAGTAGAAAAGTGTCAAATGTCAGCACAGCTCAACAGGTCCAGTCCCCAGTGAATTCTACGAAACCTCTGGTTAGCTCCCAACCAGCCATCTGGCTCTGTTGGGACACAGAGAATGACTTTTGCTTGCATCTTTGTCTGTACTGCTGGATTCATCATAGGCATCTCATAGTGTTTTCTTGTTTATAAAGCATTTTAAAATGTCGTATATATTTTCAGTAACCTTTAGAGGTCCTTGAGATTTCAATTTGACTTTTAAAAAAGCCAAAAACAGTTAAAGCACTAAAAAGTTAAAAATCTGTTGACTTAAAGGTTCGAGTTGTTCTCACAACCCAGTTTTTTGTGCCCGGTTGAAAACTGCACCTCACACTTAGATGAGGAATTCATGTGACAAAATGCCAGCTATGTTGCTTGCCTTGGCAGCTATCACTACTGAATGCAGGAATGTGCTTGGACAAACTTGTCTGGTGAACCAAATCCGTCACAGCAAGTGGACTAAGGTCTGGTCTGCAGTGGCGCCCAGACTATGGAATGCGCTCCCCAGGGAGGTTTGCCTGGTACCGACTCTATTCTTTTCAGCGCCGGGTGAAAACCTTTTTATTTGCCCATCATTTGTATTGTTAAGAATTTTAATCAGGTTTTAACTTCACGGTGGCTTCTTGGTTTTGATTTTGATTTTGTTTTTATTCTTAATTTTGAATTTGTTTTGATTTTCTTTCATTTGTGAATTGTTACTGGTTTTATGTGTATAATTATTGTTAACTTGTTAAATTACCTGTTTTTGATTTTTGTAAGCCACCCTGAGATGCTTTTGCGTATAGGGCGGGGTATAAATATTTTAAATATATAAAAAATAAATAGAAGGAGGTTGCAAACAGACTACCACTGCAGGTGCAGGATCACAATCTTGAATATTTCTTGTACTAGTTTGTTTTTTAATTTTGTATTTATAATGACCTCCTCCTATGTACAAGTAAAATGCCAACATAATGAGGAGCGAGCTGGGATAGAATGTTTCTTCCTGATGTGCTAGGTGTGTGTGTTATGGGGGATTAATTTAGAGGATTCCTCAAAAATAGTATGTGCATTGTAGACACCCCTACCCCAATTGTAGCCTGGAGTAGTACAAACTATCACCT